CTTCTCCTGCTGTTACTATTGTTATTATCAACATCACTATCATTTTTGTGATTGGCCTTATCATTATTTCCATTTGAATGATACATTACTATAATCCCTATCAGTAACACCACAATCTCTCTCTCTCTCTCTCTCCTCTCCTCTCTCTCTCTCTCATCTCTCTCTCTCCTCTCTCTCTCTCTCTCCTCTTTCTCTCTTCTCTCTCTTCTCTCTCCTCTCCTCTCTCTCTCTCTCTCTCTCTCTCTCTCTCCTCTCCTCTCTCTCTCTCTCTCTCTCTCTCTCTCTCTCTCTCTCTCTCTCTCTCTCTCCCTCCTTCCCTCCTTCCTCTTCCCTCCTCCTCCTTCCCTCCTCCCTCCTTCCCTCCCTCCCTCCTCCCTCCTTCCCTCCTCCCTCCTCCCTCCTTCCCTCCCTCTCCCTCCTCCCCTCCTTCCCTCCTTCCCTCCTTCCCTCCCTCCTTCCCTCCTTCCCTCCCTCCTTCCTCCTTCCTCCCTCCCTCCTTCCTCCTTCCCTCCTTCCCTCCTTCCTCCTTCCCAAACCACACCCACCCAATCCCTCACTTCTTAGCCCACCCTCCTTCACTCACCCGTGATGTATAATCCCTATCAGTAACACCACAATCACCCCCCCACCCCTCCCAAACCCTCCCCTCCAACCCCTCCCCAACACCTCCCTCCACCCACCCCTAATCACCACCTCCCCAACACCCCTCCCAACCCCTCCCTCCCCCTCACTCACTTACTTCACTCACTTCACTCACTCGTGATGTATAATCCCTATCAGTAACACCACAATCACATCCCCCCTCCCCCCCTCCCCAACCCTCCCCCCTCCCAACCCCCTCCCCCCTCCCCAAACACCCCCCTCCCACCCACCCCTAATCACACCCACCCCCCTCCCCAAACCCCTCCCTCTCCCTCCCTCCCCTCCCTCCCCTCCCTTCCCTCCCCCCCCCCTCACTCACTCACTTCACTCACTTCACTCACTTCACTCACCCGTGATGTTGTACAGTTTGCCGAAGCAGTCGTTCCTGTTGATGGTCGAGTCGTAGTACTCGTCGACCTTGTCCTGCTCGAGCTGCCTGAAGAGGAAGGCTCCGGCCACCGAGTATCCGGCCACGAACGCACACAGACCCACGTGGCTGAATACGAACGTGATCACCTGCTTGACCGCGCGAACGAAGCCCGTCCAGCTGCACTTGCCCATCTTTTCAACACTTTGGCGAAGGAAGGAGAGAATTATTATTATCATTAATTATTGTTGTTGTTGTTGTTTTCTTAGGTCATCCTCAACCCTGGCGGAAGGAAGGAGAGAAAGCAAAGTTTGATTTTGGGTGTTATCCTGATCATTATATTAATCATATTATTGATATTCATGATTTACTACTATTATATTATTATCTTATTCTTGTTGTTGTTGTGTTTTCTTATCATTATGCATCCCTCAACCACCTGGCGGAGGAAGGAAGATTATTAATTATCATTATTATGTTATTGATGTTGCTGGTTGTTGTTCTTTATTTCATTATTCATCCTCAACCACCTGGGGAGGGAAGGAGGACAATCATTATCATTCATTATTTGTTGTTGTTTTTGTTGTTGGTTTTTTTATTCATCCATCTCTCAACCACCTGGCGAAGGGAAGGAGAGAAATTAATTAATCATATTGTTGTTGTTTTCTTTATCATTATCTCCTCAACCACCTTTTATCATTATCATTATTATTGTTGTTGTTGTTGTTTCTTATCATTATCATCCTCAACCACCTGGCGAGGGAAGGAGAGAAAGCAAAGTTGAGAAGGGTTTGGGTGTTATACATGATCGGCATTATTATTAAATCATATTATTGATATTATTATGATTTCACTACTATTATTATCATTATCATTATTGCTGTTGTTGCTGTTGTTTTCTTATCATTATCATTATTATTAAATCATATTATTGATATTATTATGATTTTTCTACCGCTATTTCATTATCATTATTGCTGTTGTTGTTGTTGTTTTTATCATTATCATCATCTTCAACCACCTGGCGGAGGGAAGGAGAGAAATTATTATTATATCATTATTATTGTTGTTGTTGTTTTCTTATCATTATCATCCTCAACCACCTGGCGAAGGGAAGGGAGAGCAATTATCATTATCATTATTATTGTTGTTTTTTCATATCATTATCATCTCAACCACCTGGTGAAGGGAAGAGAGAGAGAGCAGAGCTTGAGAAGGGCTTGGATGTCATCATGATCTTCATTATTATTAAATCATATCAATGATATTATTATGATTTACTACCGCTATTGTCATTATCATTATTGGCTGTTGTTGTTGTTGTTTTTAATCATTATATCTCCTCAACCACTGGCGGAGGGAAGGAGCAGAAATTATTATTATCAATATATTATTGTTGTTGTTGTTGTTTTTGTCATTATCATCCTCAACCACCTGGCGAATAAAGGAGAGAGAGAGAGTAGAGCTTGTTATCATGATCGGCATTATCAAAAGCATATTAATGATATTATTATGATTTTACTACCCGCTATTATTATTATCATTATTGCTGTTGTTGTTGTTGTTTTTATCATTCTCATCTTCAACCACCTGGCGAAGGGAAGGAGAGAAAGCAAAGTTGAGAAGGGTTTGGGTGGAAGGGATGGCACCATGTTATCATGATCGTTATCATTATTAAATATCATCATTAATATTATTATGACTTTTATTACTATCATTACAATTACCATTATTTGTTGGCTGTTGTTGTTTTTATATAATTGTCATCCTCAACCACCTGCGAAGCGAAGGAGAGAAGCATATACGCATAGTCCGTTATCATTATCAATAATTTCTTTTTATTAATAATATTATCATTATCGCATCAAATCATTATTGTTGTTGGTTGCCGGTGAATAATATTATCATTATTATCATCAATCATTATTGTTGTTGTTGCTGCTGATAATATTATCATTATTTATTCATCCAATCATTATTGTTGTTGTTGCTGTGATAATACATTATCATTATTATCATCAATCTCATTTTGTTGTAGGTGGTGGTCTTTTTATCATTATCATCTTTAACCACGTGACGAAGGGAAAGAGATAAGAGAGGGAGGTTAAGAAGGCTCTCGGGAATTATCGTTGACATTATGGTTATTGTTGTTATCATTTATATCTACTTTTTCCTTATTATCATTATCATTTTTGAAATTGTTATTATTACTAATGATATCATCATTATCATTATTACAGTTCTCATTGTTATTGTTATTGTCATTACTATCACCATCATCTATATTATCATAGTTGTTATCATGATGAAATTATAATATTTTTTATTAACATTATTGTAATTACTACTATTATTGTCGCTGTCATCATTATTATCATTATCTATATTACTGTTATAATGATGATAATAATTTTTGTAATGGTAATGGTAATGATAGTAATGATAATAATGATGATAATAATAGCAATTATGGTAATGATAATAATGATAATGATATTAATCATAATTATAATTATGATAACACCAATGATAATGATAATTATTATTAGTAATATCACTATCATTATCATTGTCATTATTAATGCTATCAATATTATCAGTATTGTCTTCATCATTATTTACAATATTATCATTATCATAGTTATTTTCATTACTACTATCATTACCACTCATTTTGTTTTAAATATCTCTTGATTGATTTAACTTTTTATTTGTCTTTTTTTTTATCTGGCTATATTAGAATATAGAACAGTATCGCTATTTTACATTCCATAATTCATGGACATTCTAGAAGTATCGCTATTCCCTCACATAATATCTCTACGTGTAAAAAAAAAAAAAAAAAAATATCGCTATTTTACATTCCATAAACATTCATGGACATTCTAGAAGTATCGCTATTCCCTCACATAAGACTTTTTGATATACTGTATCATCCTAATATCAAACCTTAATAATTTCAAAATGATATCATCTTAAATCACAGTAAATCTAGCCCTGCCTCTATGCACTACACACTGCACATCTTGTCTCCGTGATTTAAGTCGTCGTATGAAAACGAACACGAGAGACAGCAATAATTCGCGCGCCATTTTTCCTTTCTCTTTTTTAAACTTGGCGCGGCCGGGCGATGAAGCGTTGCCACAATTAGCAATAACTGGGTATTGCGGGGGACATAGCGGCTTGGCAACACTGTGAAGATATTGTTGTGAAGATTTCGAAATTATTTTAAATCTTTCTCTCTCTCTCTCTCTCTCTCTCTCTCTCTCTCTCTCTCTCTCTCTCTCTCTCTCTCTCTCTCTCTCTCTCTCTCTCTCTCTCTCTCTCTCTCTCTCTCTCTCTCTCTCTCTCTCTCTCTCTCTCTCTCTCTCTCTCTCTCTCTCTCTCTCTCTCTCTCTCTCTGTTTTGTAGCCTAAGAGATGAAGTATGGAGGGAGGAGCGGAATGATAAATGAGGAATGGACAAAATAACGACGTTAAAAAGTAGGGTGAACAAGGAAAAGGGAGATAGGAATGGGAGAGAAAAAAGGGCAAATGATGACCAAAGTGAGCACGTATTGAAAAAGGAATGAAGTGAAATTAAGAGTAAGCACGTTCTGAGCATTAGGCAAGCATAAAGTCATTGGGTAAGCATATCAGCAAACACGGAGGGAAAGCAACACCTACTTAATTGCATATTTGATATCAGACGCTCCCTCAACCTGTCGCCAAAGACCTAAGTTCGCCTTTGCAAGCAAGAATTAGTCTAGTAACTATGACTACTTGAATTATATCGATCCGGAAGTTTCTTTAGGAAGAAATATTGATGCTGCTGGAAATGTAATACGCTATATATAAGTGTGTATGTGTTTTTTTTCGTGTGCATAGTGCTTAAACGAAAACTGCTGGCAGAACAAGCGCTTGGTCATAAGCACTCGCAGATTTCAGTGAATCAACTTTCAAAATAAGTAAACGAGGAAAGAAACCGAGATGGTTTCAATGCTAACAAGCGA